TCCACTCACCTACATGTACATAACCTAGTCACATCAGTGTTCTCCACTCACCTACATGTACATAACCTAGTCACATCAGTGTTCTCCACTTACCTACATGTACATAACCTAGTCACATCAGTGTTCCCCAGTCACCTACATTTACATAACCTAGTCACATCAGTGTTCTTTACCAATCATCTACATGTACATAGCCTAGTCACATCAGTGTTCTCCACTCACCTACATGTACATAACCTAGTCACATCAGTGTTCTCCACTCACCTACATGTACATAACCTAGTCACATCAGTGTTCTCCACTCACCTACATGTACATAACCTAGTCACATCAGTGTTCTCCACTCACCTACATGTACATAACCTAGTCACATCAGTGTTCTCCACTCACCTACATGTACATAACCTAGTCACATCAGTGTTCTCCACTCACCTACATGTACATGTACATAACCTAGTCACATGATATTCAAAATACCAGCCAGTATTTATGTGTTATTTATTACCATAAATGATTATACTATATTCATTAAATTAATGCAATAATCAACTGATCAAATGAATAGGTAACACTATTAAAATGACTTTGCTTTCTGCCAAAACAGTTTTGTATGCTCCAAAAGTCTTTTGATAAATTTGGAACTCTGACAAGAGAAAAATAAAATCAATGGCTTGGTCTACATTACCGTATATATTAGAAAGTTGAGGAATGAAATGATATATTTGTTCATGATCAAAACCTGACATTATTTGTTCCGGATGAGAAGCAGTTCAAGGCTGGAGTCTTAAAATCCAGATATCTGTATTTTACAGGTATTTGTCTAATTTCTGGGTTGAACTATGCAACCAAGCTATACTACTAACATTCTGTTATTTAAAATAAATATCTATGATAAAACTCTCTGTGTGTGGGGCCAATACTGAGTGATATGTCATTCTATGTAAATCTCAATGGAGCTGGATGATGGTTAACTCAGTATGTCAAGCCACTAGTTGCTTTAAATTTGCATCCTCTCTTTGCTAATTCTTGTAAAATATTGGCTATATTCTTGGTATCATCTGTAAAATAAATGATGGTAAACACACACATAAGTTAAAGATGAATCTCTTGTTCTAATAGTTTTCTATTACATGATGGGCTATCACCAAATTTCTGTGACATTTACAATGCAATTTTGTTTTATTTTGTTATAAATCCCAAATATAAAGGATTGACTGAACTAATACCTGCATGATCAAGCATTCATGGACATCGCTTTTTTTAGAGAAAAATTGGAGACGTATGTACATGTGTAAATGTAGATAGGAACTTCATATGATATAAAACATCAACATGGATACTTATACATGTACCAGAATATGTCAATTTTATTATTTCATTCTGGATCAAAACATTTAAATATCAATTATGTTCAAATGAATAATGTAAGAATTTATAAACATTTTATTGTTTTGTCTATTTCTAGAGATTAAAAGTCTGTTACAAAAAGCACCCACAGAAATTGAGTCTCAAGTGACGATAACAACACACACTAAAAATGCAAAGGATCATGGTAGTCACTTTTTTGTAAACAATGGCACGCTATGACTATCTGACGCATGCACAGGTGACAACTCCCTCGCTTTAAATCTACTATGATTAATAATCAGTGCATGGTTCAAAATAAAATATGTTTAGAGTATAGAGGGGAGCTGGTCACTGTTCTCACCTATACCACTGTGGTGCCTCCCATGATGCTCTAGATCTAACATCTGCAACATTTCCATCAAGTCAACTCGAATGTTTGGCCTTACTACTTCACTAAATGGCTATTACAAAAGAGAAAAAATTATTATTTCACTAAATTTGATGTCATTAGACTCAACAAAAATGTGTCATTTGATTTCTGAATTATTTGTAAATTAATAATTCATCAGCTTTTCAAAACCATGTATTGTCCAACATAGCAGCTTATATAAATATTGCATCATTTTGAAAACATTCTGTGCCTGAGAACTTATTCGGAACACTCTAACCATCATGTCAGTCAAATCTGATTTAAAACATTTCTATTTGTGATCACCAGAGGGCACACTTTTTGATGACGACTCATCTCCAAATACACTTTATTTTTTTGCTGTGTAATTGTAGAGCTGTAGAGCAGTAATTTGGTTGGTGAGCCCTATTTTTATAGATTCATCATCCTAAAGTTAATAAAATAAAACTCCCCGCTCCACACCAAAACATTGTTCTGTTAAAACAAAAGTGACAAGTATTAAGCTTCAGCTGTATGAGGGCAATAGCTATTTCTACTGATTGGTACCAAACAAAATGGTTTTATATTTACCCTTTTAATATTTATCCACGACTTGAAGTAATTTGCTATGGGTAACCTGAAATACTTGCATTGGCCTGGTAACCTGAATAAAAGCATTTTATGCGTGCAGTTACTAACAAATGGTACATTACTTATCTAAGCTAGTCTTAACCTAGTACATTGTATATATTTCTTATGTCTACGTGCATTGTAGTTTCATGAATACATTTTTCATATTTAAAGCCATTATTTTTAATTTTGTAGTGATTTTAGTTGAATACTACTACTACTACTACTACTACTACTAATAATAATAATAATATAGGTATTAATATGTCACACAAACCATATTTCATAATTATTCGAAACATTGTGTGTCAAATGTGAAAAATGCTTACATAGTTTTGAGATCCCAATCACCACAAGTAACAAATACAAATGCTGTTTCACCATCTAATAGACCTTGATCTAGCATCCATTTATCTAGCATCTGGAAAAAGATATAATTTGCACAGTCGATAGGTAAATAGAAAAGTCCCAGGTATTAATGCTAAAATTTTATTCTATTCTTCACTTCACAATAACTGTCAACTATTGGAACGGCAGAGTTGCTCAAAATGGGAAGAAAATTAAGTCATACAAACAATATCCATCATTTCAATAGCTATACATCAAACAAAATTATTTAAAACAAATCTAAAAATACTTTGTAATTGTTAGTAATTCATGCACATCAAATTGATTGAAAATATCTCATGATTTACAAAAAAAAACAATAAATAATAACCACAAAGTAGACCAAAAGTATCTGAATACTAACTGTTTTTTGTTCCTATATTTATTTTTTTTACAGGAACTTATACATGTCTGTTACAAATGTACTGAACAGTAACAATTCTATAATTCTCATTAGAAATTTTATTTAATTTTTTTACCTTTAAAGCTTCTTCAATCTTTGGTTTTCCACAAACCACATCCTGTGTTATTCCTGTTAGCTGAAATTAGGTATATACATAGAGAGAGAGAATTTACTTTCAGAGAAAATTAATTTTCCAAGTTGTTATCTATTAAATACTACACAATATACACTTGTGATAACATGGTACTTCAAAACATTAATTGTTTTAAACAAACTGTGTATACAATTTTCTTACAGGAAAATAAAAAGTGCATCTGTCAGTCAAACATTCATTGAAAGTTCTAAAATATGTATTCGATTGTCTGTACTAAGATTGTCTGCAGGTATAGTATTAATAATTTGAATTGAACAAATATATATGACAACTTTGGGAATGGTACTTCATGAAGTTGTGTTTGTATGTCTTACCTCAGTGCAGAATGGTGTGAGAATTGGATTGGCTGTTGGTTGTACATACGTATGAAATATGGCTTCAGTTTCAAATGTTTTTGCATGTATTTTAAGAACTGGAATTTCAATAATCTCCTGAAATGAACAAAATAATCCACAAGATGTTTTCACAGGGTAATACACAAGATTAACAAGATCTAACCACAGTTTATTGTGTCATGAGTACATGTGCATAATTATGCATCTAACACTATGGGATAGTAGAACCTAATTAATAATAATACTATTATTATAATATTTTTATTTTTATTATAACAATGAGAAAATATGATCTATTGGATTATCCCAGAGTGAAAACAAAGTCAATATTCTATTATACTACACATTTATGCAAACTTCTACAAATACAACATTTTTGTTGTTGTACCTCAATAGTGAAAATAAGTCATATTTTGATATTATACATGTAGAATGATTTCAATTTTGGTATCATGTCCGCTTCTATTGGAAAACTACAGAACTGTAGAATAATTATTATTCACTGTACTTTGGAAAATTACTAAATACTCAAAGCATGTCGTGAGAATTTTCATTTCTACTAGATAAAATAATTTAAATTATGTATATTAAGGGAAGATGTTTCAGCATGACATCTGATAATTCTGTTTGCTATTCTTCAGGATTCAGTTTTTTGAGCAATTAATAAGAATGTCATTATTTGTTGCATTAATATTTAGGATACACCAGCATTAAATTCGATATTTTATTTCAGGAGTATGTTTGCAATACTAGTACCTGGGGATATATTTTTGTAGATTTTTCACATGTTGCTTCAAAATCCAGAACCAGGAAGTAGTTATAATCCTGGCGAGGAAATGGTTTCCGTTGCTTTTGTTCTTTTCTCGGTGGAGCGGTCATTACGGTTTAAAATTTAAATCAAAATACAACAAGATTTGCCGCATGCACTCGGCGGCAATTATTTAATACACTCGTGTTTTGGATCTCTCAAACCTAAATCACTTCCGCTTCCGCGTTCGTCCACGCGCATGTGCATGACCTTTGACCTCACTGTGGAGAAAATGGCAACAGTGGCTGTAAATGTGCTATTTTTACGTCGACATAATAGCAATCTGGCTGATAGTTTTAATGTCGTTAGTTAGCTCGTAAAGAATACTAAGATACGTATCATTCAAACAGATGTACATATTACTGGTCGTACGACTAACAGATATGTTTTAGGTCAGTACCTTGTGAAGGTGTCATCAGCTGTCTCGTGAGTGACTCGCGTTCAAAGTATTACATACCGGGGGTAATTACGCCTGTTGCTGTTCTGTCCGTGTCGCCGTAATACTGTACGATCATGAATTCAACGGCATTTATAATGCCAGGGGAGATAGTCCATCTAAACGTTGGTGGGAGAAGGTAAGCGTGTAAATAAACAATAACATGAAATATCGATCTTTCATTTCAACTATAATTTATTCTCTCTGATATAAAGGGCGTGGCAGTCTGATTCATTTGGATTGTAAAACGATGAGTGGGGAAAGTGACTGTCAACAATATTTATTTTCTCATAAAAATAAACATGTAACGCCGTCGTCTAACAGGACACAACACATTTTGTACAGTTTTTTTCCCGTGTCAAAATGGAAACCTACAAAATAAACTTGAGTCAGCTTGTTGACGGATGTTGCAAGCATTTTCAAATAGAGGGGATTACACTGATGACGTAGCTACTTAGTTTTCTTGGAACCATAAAACTACAGTCTAAATGTATTTGTGTCATGATTTGTATTTTTTTTACAGATTTTCAACTTCAAGACAGACCCTCACTTGGATACCTGACTCATTTTTTTCAAGGTAAGATTATTGACTATATGTAAATATTTGTAATGATGATGTTCAAAGCAAACTACAGAAGTTATGATTCTGTCCACTAATATCCACAAAATTTTGAACAAAATATATTTTTACAAACATTGTATGTCTCAATGACCGGCAATATATAGTTGATCATTAAATTCTAGGATTTGGATTATAATTGTCAGAAAAGTTTATTCAAATTGTATTGACAGATAATAAATACAATCAGAGGTATATTACTTGGGGTTTGCAACTACGGTGACATGATACCAAGATCCCGTTTCAATCTCGCTCTCGCATAAGCGTTTGTGCATGCCCGAGGTAACTAGGATACTAGGATGTCCAGGTGGATCAAAATACATGTAGCTGCCCACGTTATGACGGTTTACGATAACTATATTTTCTGTACATTTGCAATGTATTACATTTTTTCACTATGAATGTGGTAATACATGTTTTATTGATTATTACAAACCGCCTACTTTATGTCAGAAGGTTTTTAGCATCAGTCTCGCTATCTACGAGATGAGACTTGAATGGGATCTTGACATGATGTCACCATACAGTATTATAGCGTTGCAAACCTCAAGTAATGTACCTCTGATACAATATATACTTGAATTGCATTCGCTGTGTGCATATGCAAGACATAGATAATATGCATCTACTGTGTTTATTACTGGGAATAATAATTGTATTTTACACAAACTCAAGCTCTATTAGCAGTACACTTAAACCCATTACATTAATAGCATGCTGGATGATGACTTATTATTACCATTGACACACTAAGCAAATGTGCTACTACTAGAGCAATTAGAGGTATATTATTTAATAAATCGGTTGTGTGAAGAAGTAATTTGGAAAACAGTACAATGCACAAGAACCCAATAGCCATTGAAGGGCTAACTCAAAAAGAGCTTGGCACCTTTAGTTAAATACAACCTTGGTAAATAAATTTCGATCATGTGTGCTATCAATATTTGAAAGCCTATCTTGTATGCTAATAAGTAAAGATATATATTCAGTGTATTGTGATTAGAGTTTTTGATGTTTTTTCTCTTACTTAGTTTAATGAGTGGTAGAATATCCTCTGTCAAGGATGAGACTGGAGCAGTAAGTGTACACACTTTATTTATTACATCATGTAACATGATATACCAACATATGAGCAAAGAACAAATACAAGAACGTCTGGCAAATGTATATAGTCTGTAGATGACTTATCTAGCTCAGATTGTATCTGATATAATCATGGCAATATGGTATGCTATTTCAACATCAATTATAATTACCAATTATCTAACAACTTCTGCATACCTCTCTTAATTAAATTTCGCTCAAAGTTACAGTATATAGTACATATTTAATGTAAAGAATGGTGGTTGTCATGCTGTGTATCTTTAAATGCATTTTATATGGATCACCATTAGAGGGCATTGTTTTAACCACAAGTCCTTGTTCATGTTCAGATGTCAAATATGGAACTAGGGCTGAGACAAGCCATAGCCGCTGACTTGATCTAAGCTAAATTAACCTGGCTGGCTCAAGACCGGCTTAATTAATCTGTTCACACATGGTTTCAACAGTGGGTGAAAATGTAACTCTCTACAATTCACTGTACATGTGTGAAAAACCACATTATACATTATGTGCATAACATAAGACATTACACGCTGATAATTGTGAAATTGTTTATATTTTCAGATATTTATTGACAGAGACCCAACTTTGTTTGTTCCAATACTCAACTATCTAAGAACTAAAGATCTTGATTTAGATGGTTTAAACATACCAGCTCTAAGACATGAAGCTGAGTTCTATGGGATGACTCCATTAGGTACGATTAATATGCAATCACTCGTCTGCTCTATTTGATATGTTGTTTTATATATGGCGTGATAAGTTGTTGATTCCAGTCCTATTCAACATAGTCACATAATGGTCCTATTCAACATTTTTTTGACTTCTTGAAAAATTAAACTATGTTATAATCTCAATCATTAACAAATCATCTGACTGTTTTTATTTCCAGTGAGGAAGCTAATGTTCTGTGAAGACTTAGAGAGATCATCTTGTGGTAATGTGTTATTCCATGCTTACCTGCCTGCTGCTGGTGAGTTTACATATGTACATCAAACTAATATATACAAAGCTCATTAAGCCTCTTTTTTCCAAAAAGTGTGTGATTCTAGTCTAGTTGTAAAATCATAGTGCTGTTAACAAAGTCGAGTGTAGCTATTCATATTACTGGTTGTTCATCACTGTCCAGCGATGTCAAATTTACATTTTTGAGCTGTATGGGTTTTATTTTTTGTTTTGACCTCTGTGCGTTCGTGCTTCTGTCCGTCCGTCCGTCCGGATCTGTATCTTAAAAATGCATTGACCAATCACAATCAAACTTCACACATACATCATACATGATATTATACATATGCACATCAATTTGTTCCATGATCTGATTCAAGATGGCTGAATGGCGACCATTTTTGTTCTAAAAATCATCAAAATCAAGTATTTCTCGGCTGTTTACAGACGGATTTTGTTCAAACTTGATATATACGTTGGACATTATAGGACCTTGATACACATCATTTTGTTTTTCAGATAAGATTCAAAATGGCAAAATGTTTTAATGAATGTGGTTCTAGTGCCATACATGTATCTCTGACTTGCTGTGACTGATTATGTTCAAATTTTAAATATTCATTATGCATCATGTCATAGATATACAGATATATTGGTTTGATGATCCTATTAAAAATGGCCGAATGGTGGCCATTTTTGTGCTAAAAAATCATCAAATATCAAGCATTTCTGGCATTTATGGATGGATTTTGTTCAAACTTGGTACATACATTAGACATTACGGGTTCCTGATGCACGTTATTTTATTTTTTAGATCAGATTCAGAATGGCTGAATAGTGGCCATTTTGTTTTAATGAATAGGCTTCTAGAGCCATAACTCTGACTTTGACTGACTATGTTCAAATTTTATATAATCATTATACATGTATTCAAAATGGCTGATTTTGTTTTAATTAATGCTGTTCCAGAGAAATATCTCTCAATACTCGTTTGACGATCAGATACAAATGTCAATCAATTAAATGTTAAAGAATCATCATAATCATATTCCTGACATGTTTTTATTCCATCTATATTACTATAAACAAAACTACATTGTATATACCTTAAATTCGATAACTAACAGGGACTGTGCCATGCATGGCTTGTTTTTGATATGTTTTTGTAAACTGTTTGCTCATTCGCTTCAATATTTTATATGTCGGCACCATGGGTGGACCCCTCTCAGTATTGTTGACTTTGTGACTATCATTTCTCAAATATTTCTATTAAAGTCTATATTTTTAGTCAGATATTCTCATTCTTCAACAGCATTTCCACTAAGGAGTCGACACTGTACAGTGGGTGAAGCTGAACTAAGAACCCGTCCACAACAACCACCACTGCAGAGAGACAGGATTGCATCAGCCAGAGACTCTCATACAAATTGTACAGCTGATGCTGTGTTTTCTAGATCTGATCTTGATATATCGCTAGCAGGTAAGACTATATGTTATCTGCTGTCTTGTACTGTGTTCACTGTGTATAACTGGTGTCTCTGATTTGTCTCAATTCTCCCATCCGAAAAATATCCCCTTTCACAGCGTTTTCACAGCTGGTCAAATTTTCAAAAAATAATGATCAAATATTTTTGGGGGACTATTTTCATTGAAAAATCCACCCACGCAGACTTTCAACGCCGGCAGTTGGGCCACCCAAGACGAAAAAAATCATTGCTGAATTAACAAGTAGATCGCCTGAAATTTCATTACAATGTCACCCAGTGTCATTTTTCAAATACATTTGTTTTTATTTTATTGGTAACGAAAGTATCTTCTAAACAAAGTTTCAAATAAGACCATAACTGCATTGCGAAGTACTAGCAAACGATCACAGTCAGAATGCTGCGTTTCACAATTGTTGATTATTACTCAATAGTGATTATAATAACACACAAAAAATAAATTTGTTGAATTGTTATGAAATGCAAATAAAATTCAACTTAGTATTAAAGCAAATGATTCCGGTCGCATATGAATGCGATGCTGTAGGGTATCCGCTATGTCCTTTCTTGCATGAGTTGACCTGATAGGTCAAATCGCTAATTAACCAATCAAAATACTGGATGATGCCAACATGTTAAATTACCATAGCTCATTTAAATATGTTATAATAGTTATTGAACGCAACGCAAAAGAGATTTGCCGATGTTGTAGTAGATCGTTTGGCATGATTTTTTTTTTCAAATCAAAAAATAGTTGTTTTCAAAAGATAAACTGAGCATTAGAAAAATAATTTAACATTGTTTACAGTGATAACAGCTCATTGTCGAAAAGAAGCTTACCTATTCACGCTAGTCACGAAACATACTCTTGAATAAAAACTTAATAGACTATTTTAGGCGTCAGGAAAGATTGAAATGTCCAAAAAATTATGCCAAAATATTTAAAAACAACAACTTTAAAAACTGCCGAAAAATTGCCCTGGGCGATTTCTTGGTCCCTTTTATTTTTTTTTAAACCGAACTGCCGTTTAACAATTCTGGGCGAATTTACGACAGAATCCGGTATTGCTAAGAATGTGGCACTTTAGCTATTGGTGTATCCTGTACATTTTTGTATTTTCTACTCATGCAGATACTATGCTCGATCCCAGAAAAGCCATTCTCATCACTGGCCATCACAACTGGATTGCAGTGGGATATCCCCATTTCATTTGCTGTTACCGAATTAAAGAGTCCACTGGCTGGAATCTTATCTTTACCAGTCCATACTTGGAACACACTGTTGAGAGGCTAGCTCTGAATTCTAAAGTTACCAGCATCAACCAAGGTGACAATAGAGAAAAGATGGTGGCAGTATCTTATGGGTCAACTGTGAGACTTTGGTGTTGCCAAGATGATGCACGCAGTGAAGTCGGTGAGCAAAATATTTGTCTTCTATTGATAGAAATAGTTTAGACCGAAAAACAAGGAGAAATGTCTCGCGCCAATTTGTTTTTAAAGGGCGGCAGTCGTCGTGCCGCATCCTGTACGATATGGGACACATAGCGACGTATACAATGTGTGTAAAATACATTGTTTATCTACATGAAATTTGATCATGCGATGCGCGACGACCACCGCGCTTTAAGCACTGCTTTCTGAATACTATGAACTAACAACTTTTACTTATATATTTTCTATAGGTACATTCAATTTAGGAGTTCCAGTAGATGCATTGTTTTTTATTGGTAGTCAGTTAGTAGCCACCAGTAAAACTGGTAAAGTTGGAGTATGGCATGCTATGACACAGAATTGGCAGGTAGGACCATCCTGTCATTGCCTAAAGGAAAATATATGCCAGGAATTAGGGAAGCATGTTAACACATAAAATGACCTTTGTTTTACCAAATGAACACACAGTGGTTCTTATATGAGGAAATACATCCTAGACATATGCAATCAACTAGTCAAATAATTATTAGTCCCTGTTCGGACGAAGTCCGAAAACGGGGACTTATAATTCGGTCTCTGTGTGTCCGTCCGGAGTCATATCTCAGAATCCTTTGGAGCGATTCCGTTCATCCGTTGCATGTGCCTAGTACTTTATGTGGGACATGTGCACATGCAGTGGTTTAGCGATTCGATTCAAAATGGCCGAGTGGCAGTCATCTTGTTTTTTGAAAATGTTGTATTTTGGACATGTTTTGTCAGTTTTCATTCAAACTTGGTACATAGATTATACATGTTAGGATACATGTCCATGATGATTTATTTCACAATTGGATGAAAGATGGCCGACTGGCAGCCATCTTGTTTTTTGAAAATGTCGTATTTTGGACATGCTTTGTCAGTTTTCATTTAAATTTAGTACATAGATCATACATGTTAGGATACATGTCC